GTCTCGAATTGGTATGACTGTCGTGTGTTTTTAAACTATGCATTGTTATGTGTCGTTTTTTAATTTTTTGTCTGTATCCCCCTTCCCTGGTTTGAGTTGTGAGCCGCCCTGAGTCCCCTTCGGGGGAAAAGGGCAGCATATAAATATAATAAACAACAACAACAAAGTTCAAGAAGAAGATTGGGACCTAATGGTAGGTTAGATCAATCATGACACTTCCAGGTGCCAGGAAGAAGGACCCCAAGTTGGATTTAATTCTTCTGTTCCTCCTTCAAGTTGGGAAATGATAGTAGGAAACAACTCCATGAGTAACAGAGAATTACTCTTTCATCTTGGCTCCGTAGTTTGCTTATCAAAGAAGCTGGTTGCCCTTAAGGAGCTTCTCAAGGGTCCACTCTCAATGGGCAAGAAAGCTCTGGAAAATGGCCACCCAGAGCACAGACTTCCTTCCTAGTCTGATATATTGGCTGCCAGAGGAGTCTGCCGTGATTGTCCCTCTGGTCCTTTGGAGCTGAAGAAGCTTAGACCTTCTTCTAAAAGCTGACCCTCTAGGCCAAAGGTGTCCAACTTTGGCAATGTTAAGACCTGTGGACTTCAACTCCCAGAAGCCCCGTGGCGTTGGTCCTGGGCATTGACTTGCTTGGACTGCACCACCTCCCAGATGTCCGGAGAGGGTCCAATTTTACCTTTCTGGAGATGGGGGATGCTCCTCTCGGTCATAATATTGATCCACTTGGGAACGTCGGTGCCCTTCCGCTTCACTCCGGCATCGTAGAGGTCCTGGGGAGGACAGGGACATGTCTGGGGTCAGCTCCCGTCCACCACTGGAATGGTGCTCCTCAACCCAAGCACCCCAAAAGCTCAGGAGGAATTCTGCGGGTGGAATCTGCCAGCTTTCGCCAAGGTGGCCGGAAAAACAAGGACAACTATAAAGGGAAACTTGGGTGGTCAGATAGACGCCATAGACGGAGAAGCAAAATTGGAGAGGCAGATCATTTTATGTCGCATTTGGGGAAAGAGGGATTGTTTTAATCGCTTGTGGGAGATGGGTGGCCCAAAATGCTAGAAATAAATACATTAATTTCAGTTTTGCCCCACAGAAGGAAGGACTTACCCGAGCATCTTGGTCGATGAGTTCAAAGTCCACTACAGAACAGTCTTCGTTTCTCCTGCCCTTGAAACAAGAGGACAGAAACACAGAGTAAGTCCCTATTATCTATCACAGAGTCCCGGGTAGTAGGGAAGGCCCACCGAGGGCATCTAATCCAGCCCTAAACTTTGGCACCCCTGCAGGAATCCCCGTCGCTGCAGCATCAACCCTCAGATTCTGAGATCCAAATCAAATCAATTTGGGGGGTCAGAACCATTTGGGGATCATAGCCGAGCCTGTCATCGTGAGCACAGCTGGCTGGGGAATTCTGGGAGTTGAAGTCCACAGGTCTCAAAGTGACCAAGGTTGAGAAACACCAATTTTCCAAGGAGGTTCCTACCTTGGCCAGCGCAACCATCAGTTTCCGGAAATCCCCAGAAGTGTCAGAGATGATGTCTTTTTCCAGTTCTGTTTTGTACACTAAAAACGAAGCAGAATGAAGGTTAAAGATGGGGAAACCACCTCTGGGTTTAATCTGACAAACATTGAATGTTGGTCACATCCGACTGCAGCCCTGAAGCTCCCTACAGAGGCAAGAATAACCATGGTTTGATGCTCTAAGAGGCATCTGCCAGGTTCCTGACTAAGGGAAGTCCTTGTTTAGCAGCTATAATTGGGAATCTTTTCCTTCAATAAGAAGTAATTGTTGCTGTCCATCCTTAAGAAAACCCCTGGCTACTTAAGGGAGAGACTTGGAGTGTATGATGTGTTGTTTTAAATCTATCTTTTCTTTCCCTGTATTTTTATTTTGATTTATTTTGATTTATTTTTGTATTGTAATTGGGCGGCATATAAATCTTATTAAACTTTAAACTTTAACTCTCTTCCCACGAGCATCCTGGCCAACTTACTTTCCTTGTAAACTTTGTTGATGACGGCCAGTTCCTGGTTTGTCCGTGAGCAGATGATCTCAATGAGAGTGTCTTCATCGGTTCCCAGGCCCTGGAAGGCAAGAGAAAAACCCACATGATGCTCTACAGCCATCTCGGTTTAGGTGGATCGTGGTCTGACTCACATCCCTGGCAAAACCTTCGGGAAAGTCTTAGTCACCGCCAGGCAGCGGCCTTGCTTGAACTGAGCTCCAGTTCAACCCTCCCACCCTCCTGGGAATGACTGGGAAAACTCCAGCTCCAGACTTACAAAGCGGCTGCCACCATTCCTGATGGTCGGAAGGACTTATGAGTCACACAAAGCTAGTTTTTGTGGTTAATGACTGCATCCTAACTTGATTTTCATTTTTTTTTCCTTCTAGTGTTTTTTTTTGCAATTGCAGTATCCACTTTCTTTGGCTCAACTGAGAGTAAATCCGTGGCTTACAACAGGAATCCTGCAAACCGGTGGTGAGATTCAATTTTTTTTTACTACCGGTTCTGTGGACGTGGCTTGGTGGGCGTGGCAAGGGAAAGGATACTGCAAAATCCCCATTTCCTCCCGATCAGCAGAGACTCAGGAAACAGAGAGGTGGCACAGTGGTTAGGGTGCAGGCCACTTCAGCTGACTGTTATCTGCAGTTCAGCGGTTCTAATCTCACCGGCTCAGGGTTGACTCAGCCTTCCATCCTTCCGAGGTGGGAGAAATGAGGACCCAGACTGTTGTTGG